GACCTGTCGAAGTTCCTACAGCAGCCGGGCCGCGCGCCCGCCCTTGCGCGCCTGGCTCTCCGTGGGGTGCGAGTCTCTGTCTGAGGCTGGCGCCGAAGCCATCCTGCCCCTTTCTACGAAGGTTCATCGCGAGGATTTTTTTCCCGGCAACAACTTTGCGGTGGAGAAATCAGAGTTCACGTAGGCGGATTTCGGAGGGGGGCGATGCCTGTAAAGCGCGGGGGGGGGAGGCTTGGTCGGCCGAAGCTTCCGAGCGATTTAATTAAGGGGCTTCGAGGGGGGAAAGTCACAGCTGCACTCGCCCATCTCAAGGGCGCCTGAGTGAAGACGGTTCTTCGGGCTCAGCCGCGCACGAGGAGCCGGGCGGCTTCAGCGCCGCCAGAGGTTCTGCGGGTGCCTCGTAGCGCCGCCCGGGCACCGGCAGCGGCTGCGGGGTGGAGGCAGGAAAGTCTTTTCCGTAGTTAACAGCCCTGGCGAGCTGATCGTCGACGCTTCGGGCATGGCGTAACGAATGATACTCGCGGAAGTTGGGTGACGATCCCCGTGCCATGTAGCCGGCGGGGCGGGTGTCAAGGAAGGGGAGGAAGACGGTCCTACCGACTGGCCTACAACTTCTGCAGCTTCCCCCAGATCCGGACGAGGCTCCAAACTGTATCAGCCCCAACCCACGCACAGGACGAGAAGCGTGTCAGCGTGTTACCCCGGAGCAGAAATGTATCAGTGTAAATATGGCAATGACAGAGCACAGCTCAGCTGTGTATGCAATCAACTCACCTCACTCAGAGCTCACACCTTGAAGGGTGAGGCTACATGACACAACACAAATCACAGTATATAGTAAGGTGCACCATGGGTTATGGTGTGGCTGGTGGTTGGAGTTGTGGCTGGTAGGTTGGTGTATTGTAAGTTCTGTAGATTGTATTAAAACTGTACACAGACAGTAAAAGTCTGTGTATAGTTTTCTACAAACAGACTGTGCACTAGTTATTTTGCAGCGCTCACGGAGTACCACAACACAGTGTCTACACTGATCCCCGACAAGGTGGGGGAGATCCAGCCCAGGCAACAAGAGAAGAGGGGAAGCGTTAAACTCTGCGAGATCTGCCTTGGCCAACAGCCGGGAACGAGACTGTAAAATCAGGCAGCTAACCAGGCTTAAAGAGCTACTGCCAGCCTTCAACTTAGGCCAGGTCGTGAAACACCTCAGGGATTCCTGGAGTGACGTAGGGCAGTGTTTCTCAACCTTGGCAACTGGAAGATGTGTGGACTTCGACTCCCAGAATTCCCCAGCCAGCATGGAGTCCACACATCTTAACTTTGCCAAGATTGAGAAACACTGTTATAGGGCATGAGAACAGAATCCTGAAAGTCCGTGTTTCTCTCTGTCCCATCTTAAGCTGAACACCATCAAGGCAGGTAATTTTGAGTCTTTCTCACACATTCTTCAGTCTCTGGACTGTGTAATCTCCAAATCCCTTTTTCCAAAAGCCAGTTCTAAATTCCTCAACGCCTGTTCACACGTTGCGGAATGTAGATTGGCAGCCGAGAGTCCCTCAAAATGGGGAGAAACTCGATGTGCGGCCTGGATTTCTGGCAACTCTGGTGGCCTGTTTGGGTCTGTTCCCCCTTCTCATGTTTGGGTGGGGAATTTCTCAAGGAGCACCCTTATGGCCCTGGTCTGCCTTGTCAGAACTTGTGCAGACTGGGTAGGTGTGCAAGGCTCACAGACTCTTGAAGTGGCTAGGATGTTCTGGTCTTTAGCAAAGATCTGCAGTTATGGTGGGTGCATCAGTGGTGCTGCTGGTAGAACCCCAGTCTCCCCTGAGATTTTCCTCTTTAAAGTCTACAAGCACCCCTGAAACTGTCACAATAATACAGTAGCAGTGGAAGTTGTATCCCCACTTCTTTTTTCGCTTGAGAAATCTGAGTTTTGGGATAGGAAATCAGGGGATGGGTGTGTGTGACATCTTGCTGTGATTGTAATTGGAGGAGAGCATCTGGCATGAGCGCGCACCTGAGATGATTTACAACAAAGAGGATTTATCCTGCCTGTGTCACACCTACAGCTGTTTTAAATTCCCAGGGCTTGGAAGAAGAATCAGCGCGTACTTACTAGTAAAAGCATTTAGGGGGATTTTGTGTGTGTGTGCATGTGGGTATTTACAGTCATGTGAAAAAGTAAGTATACCCATGTAAAGCTTTTTTTTCTTTTTTAACATACGGGGACATACCAATATTTTATCTTCAAACAGTATATAAAGATAAAGGTGATGTAATTGAAAAAAAAACTATGAAAAATGACTTTGAAATCATTTATTCAACAGCAACAACAACAAAACCTACATGCCCTTTCCTTCTGTGGAAAAAGCAAATACACCCTTGGCTCTGATACTTGATATTGCCCCCTCTGGCAGGCAGAAACTTGAGTAGGGTATTTTTTTATAACTGTCTACCCATCTCTGACATCAACTGAGAGGACTGTCTCCCCCACTCCTCCATGCAGAATGTTTTCAGCTGTGTGACATGTGATGGGTCTCTGCAGGGACAGCCCGTTTCAAATCACCCCACAGCGTCCCAATGGGATTTAGATCCGGGGCTTTGACTTGGCCATTCCAGAACCTTCCATTTCTTCTTTTCAGCCGTTCCTTGGTGGATTTACTGGAATGCTTAAGGTCATTGTCACATTGCAAGGTCCACTTTCAGTTGAGCTTCAGTCTTCTGACAGAAGGTCTTCTATTACCCCCAAGCACCCTCTGGTACAATGACACATTCATAGTGGATTCTTTGAAGGCAAGCTGCCCGGGATCAGGCCAGCTCAACTCCCGATCCGACTGCAAAAACGTTTCCATTTCTGCAGTTTTGTCAGGCCTAGCCCGAGGAACTCCAGGAGACCATGCAAGTTCTGTTCAGCAATGTTTATTAGCTATAACCTCTA